AGCATGGATGTCCAAGAAGGCAGAAAACCTTAATGCTGGGTATGATAGAGAATGTGAGAAGACACAATGGAGCTGTGCAGATGCTGAACCACGGAGCGATCGTGACCTGATCTGTGTGATGCTGTGATGCTCTGGGCAGTGTTCTGCTGGGAAATCTTGCATCCCGGCATGTCACTCTGAGACCTGCCTAAACACCTGAACAGACCATTCACGTCCCTTCAAGGCATCGGTATTCTCTAATGGCAGTGACCTCTCTCTGCAGGATAATGGGCTCTGCCACCCTGAAAAAAAAATGTTGAGGAATGATTTGAGGACCACGTGAAGGAGTTCAAGGAGTTGATTTGGCCTCAAAATTCCCCAGATCTCAGAGCAATTGAGTAGCTGTGGGATGTGCTGGAAAAACAAGTCCGATCCACGGAGGCCACAACTTCTAGGACTTAAAGGATCTAACGTCTTGATGCCTGATGCCACAGGACGCTCTCAGAGGCTTTGTGGAATTCATCCCTATACAGGTCAGAGCTGTATGATAAGGATCTACACAATATTAGGATGTAGTTTTAATGTTGTGTCTGAGAAAAGCTATGGTGATGGTTTTTTTTTTTCCCCCATCACAAATACAGCATCTTTTAATCAGAATGCACTGCCACTGAAGCTGCACGTTCCTCCGCGACATATGGCATCACGCTCCAGTCTCACTGCTTACCGTAGATTAAAAAACAATTTTATATCCAAGAAGTCCATATTAAAAAGTCATTGTTCCTTCAAGAAGACGGGTGCATGGCCTGTGCTGCTCATCTGGACACTATTAGTTTGTTTGGAGGCCTCGGAGAGACTAATTTCCCTGAGTCACATTCACAATTGGAAGATTAGAAGTTACTCATTGTCTTCCCACTATAGTGATGCCCCATATGCAATTATATGCTACAGCATATAGCGCCTCAATTTAAACCATTTGCATGATGCTATTCCATGGTTACTGTTCTAATAAGGCATTACCGCTCCATCCCAGCTAGCCACAGAAGCATAAATAGAAATCCTCTGCGAGCTGGGCTACAAAAATAATGGATGACCGTGATCTGTTGGGTTATTAGAATGTGAATTGCCTGTTTAGAAATACTACTGAGAGAAATGACAGCCCTAAACTAAAAATATAAACGCGAAAAACTTGTTTAATGAGTAGCAACAGCCTTGTGAAAGACTGACATTAACAACCCCACATTTCAATGAATATGATTATTATTGTTTTCTGACTTAGACCAGTATTTATGTACTCCCATAGCTTTTTATTATTTATCTTCACATTCAAACAATGCGCCTTGTTGAGAATCAAATCCCGGCACTCGCACGTGTGTGTGTGTGTGTGTTCTCCGTCTGAGGTAACGGAGAAGATTCAGCAAGCTGGAATCACATTTAGATGGTTTTTAACCTTCTTTTTTCTTCTCTTCACTCACAACCATCCAGCTCTCTCTTCTGAGCAAGCTTTACCTCATTTGCTTGCCTTTGTTGTGTGCTTATCCTTCCATCATCCTGCTCCAGTGTTTCTATCTCGGTCCCTGTGTCAGCTGAAACTGCCTCAAACTCGGAGCAAAAAAAAAAAAAAAAGAAAAAATCAGCTCTACGGCTCTACGGACCTGACCCCCTCCGTCGTCATCTCTGTGTAATTCTGTCCCGGGACTCACTTCCTACATGGCCCTGCTGAATCCCAGCAATTTGCTCTACAGCTCTAATGTTTAAATGTTTAATTGAGCCACTCATACCCTGAACTGTGGCAGTGTGTGCGTTAACTGAAGCTGTATAATACCGGATGCGGAGGTGTTTCTGCTTGAAATACGACGGGTTAGGGTGTGATTAAGATCCAGCACGTACTGTGTGTGACCTGCTGATGTGGTATGTTTTAGAAACTTGGTAGTTATTTTAGTTTGTCCATTACGTTGTAGCCTTTGGAGGAATATCTGATCCCACACATGTACATGCGCTGACCACCATTCATGTACATGCACACACTTGCAGATTTTCTCTTTCTTTTCCGGCTCACACGCAGAATACATAGAATCGCTCTCCCTCTACATGAATAACACAAATGTATTCTGCCCGAGTCCTCCGTGCTGGAAAATAAGATCAGTCAGTGAGCCTTTGACCCTGGTCCATGGCTGTACGAGCATGTGTCAGTGAAACAGCGAGCGGAGCAATATAGAACGAGTGTGCGTGCATCATGTAAATGCGCTGGCCGCAAAGTGCTTTTGTTTGTAGGTGCTTATGTATGCACACACATGGGCTCATAAAGTCTGTGAAGCCAGTGTTCATGCTTTGGGGGGGGGGACTGGCAGTAGATCTATCACAGCGCCGTAGTTAGTCTCAGTGTTAATATTCGGTGCACTTCAGCACCTCAGCCACTGCTGCTATTGGCTGGGCTTTATTTATTGTCATCTCTTTGACTGTGCCCATCAGCTAAAGCCTTGTTGAGGCAGCAAAAAAAATGCACACACACACACACAAACCTACATCTGCTGGTTCAGTTTGTCTTAGTTCATTAGAGCAGGTTTTTTTTTTTATTACGTCTAGAGAAGTAGATTGAGGCAATTGCCAGACAACGGATAGCCTTCGCAAGTTCAGGATGTATTACAGCTGTCAATGGCTTCATTCCTTTATTTTACTTCTTCTTTATTTATATATTCATTTTCTAAATCCACCCCAAAGTGTGGTAAATGAAAGATTCTTTTTTTATCCGTTCAATCGACATGCTTGTACACGGCTGTTCTTTCAGCTGTGACTCAACTGCAATCAGAATGAACTCCCATCAACACACAGGATGTATGGTCGATGGGTTTTTTTTTTTTCCCCAGGATCTTTGCTACACTGATGGACACTTTGCTCTGAATAGTACTGTCCTGCTGAGGCATAATAGTCCACCGGTGGTCCGCTAATCTCGGCGAGGCAGGCACACTGTGCCCTCTCCTCCCGCAGCCACAGGATATGAGATGCTGATCAGATTTCTATAATCAATTTACCAGAGCAGGAGGTATAAATCCTGTCCATTCACTCTTTCTCCCTCTGCCCCCCTCTCCCCTCTGTCTCTCTCTCTCTCTCTCTCTCCCCAAGTCTTCCTCCCCTCCCTTCGGCACCCTGCTTATAGTTAGATGAATAATTCAGCAGCCAATGTGGTGAAAGGTGGAGTAAACAAGTCTATTGCCTAATATCCCGAGAGGCTGCCAAAGAGAGACGAGCGAGGGCAGAGAGCTAGCAGAGATAGGGGGATGGAGCAACACAGGAGGAGGGTATCTATGGAGAATGGACATCCAAAGTCTTTCCTCATGACCCGCAGTCATTTGCACTTAGATTGACTCAGAGGTTGCGCCAAAATGGCACAGCTGGCTTCAAGTGGTTGTCTCTGCTTTCCTCTCTTGAGCCACACATTGGCAACCATTAATAATGAAATCATACAGTGAAACACAACAGCTGTGTGATAGGGTGGGAGAGAGTTCAGGGTCCCTGCCTCCCCGAGACGAGAGTTCCCGAAAACAAAAACGAGGATAAAAGCAGGAGTATACTTCAGGCTACTGTATAATACAAGACGTGACTCTCTGTCCGCTCGCCGAATGTCATGGAGAATAACTCTATTCAGGTTTGGAGTGCAGAGTAAGTAGCTTTTATTTTGACACCATCAGGTATACAGGGACCATGCCTAAACTTGAGACACATACAAATGAGCAGTACAGCTTTTTGTGCTCGTAGTAAATCCAATGCAGAGAGAATTCAGAGGACACAGTGTGCTTACATAACGAGCAAATGTAATCTCACTCCAGAGTTATATTCACTGATTATGCAAGCAGAACTACTGATTGATGACTCACCCAAAATTCAATTATCACTCTAAACAGTTTTATGTGGAAATTAGATTAAGATTTTTTTTTTTTTTTTTTAAAGGAACCATGTTAATTAAAGAGACAGAAAGCTATTTCTGGTTGTATCTGTTTTTAAAGCTGGGATATTTATAAGGACGCTTGCACTTCCTGTAAGTTGATTAGAACCTCGAAGTTACAGTAAGTTGGAGAGTTTACGGCTCTAAATCAAAAGAGGTGGACTGCAACTATGCTCGGAAAGCTGCATGTTGTGCGTGTGTGTGTTTCTGCGTTTTTGTATTTGAAGGAGAGAGCTGTACTCACTGGCATGGTCTGGCTGCCGTGGAGGGCACTGATTGCAGACTGAGCCTCAGTATGTGTGGAGAACTTAACGAAGGCGCAACCTGGAAGAGAGAACAGATGCACAACACACACACACACACGAGCGTGAACACACACGTATGCAAACACATAAATATAAATATACAGAAAGGCATTCGATCCGAGCGAGTATTTAAAAGCCTGCGTTATATTAATAAAGGATGTTGAATTGCATTTGACACCGCAGAAATCACTGTGCAGCGAGAGGCTTTCACTACACAGCAGGCTGCTCCACTCCAGGCATTAGGCAGGCAGACAAGCAGGCAGAAGCTGCAGGCTAAAGATTGCACTGATGAAGCAGAAAAGCATGCTATTTAGCACCACATGCCTGTCTGTGCATATTAAATACGAGCTAAACTGGCTAAACTTAAATAGAAACCCCTTTGGAGAACTCGGCACACTTCATTGTTCCTTCAGCGAGAAGCTCTGATCGATATTTCGCAAATATCGGATCAAATGCCCGAAACCGCAGAACCTGCACCGTTTGTTGTGATGTATTTAAGGAGAAGTGGAAGAGCTACAGCGCCATCATTCAATACGCAGATATAATTTTCACTAATACGGTGCCGCTGTGTCTTCTAAAATTAACCGTGATGGTCCACTCTCAAATTTGATTACATAAGCAGTAGCAATGGCTGGTTTAAAATATTAATTACACCATATCCCTTTACTGTTTTTATCCAGATGTATTCCTGGATGTATGGCGTGGGAGGAAGAGACCGCTGGGACACATGACCATCTATTACAAAACAAATTAACACCCTTTCTCAATGATGCATGTGCGATAATGGTGCCCAGTCCGCTGCTCTTGCACGTCTCTGGAGTGAGTTTATCGAAATTGAAGAGGGCATAAGAAACCAAAGTGAACAAAGACAACACCCTTTACTCTGTGAGGACTAAGTCTGGGTCTGTTGCAGCGAGACAGCACGGCTATCCGCCGAGCCACCGCGTCCTCTTATGATTATACCCTATTTCACCTAATTTCATTTCATTTTTAAGTTTCCTTTTTTATTATTATTTAAGCTCCAATACTTTATTCTTCTTATCACCTATCCTGCTTGACCCGGCCGCCCTGCCATTCTTCCTCCGTTAATGGGCTTACCCCCGTGGACACCAGCCGATCAAGATGCCCATTCAGCTGTCAAACCACTGCCCCCTATTGAGATATGGATAGAAAAGAGCTCGAGCTCTTGATGACCTGTACAAGGACTTTGCTACAGTAGTACAAAGTATATACCACTATAATTAGGCATTTAAAGCTGGGGTAGGCAGTATTTTTCTGGCGTCACTGGGCAATAATTCCACAATAACCTTTTAGTATATTGTAATTCAAGTGGTAGGAAGTAGGAACCTAGACTTCTGCATCTCCTCTCAGCTCTGTTTTCAGACTTTAGAAATTTGAGCCTAAGTTGGGCGACTTTAGCCAAATATAAGTCTTTTCACCCAGATTAGCTGATGTAATATAAACAGCGGCAAAGTTCAAAGTGAGAGGAAGATGTGGTGGTGCACTGGGTTCATTCAGGAGAGCTGGGTTTGAATCCTGTATGAAGCCTTTGCATGACCTTTTAGCTTGACTATTTGTGCATGTTTTAGGCATGTGCTATTCTGAGCTGCTGTCAGAGGGCTGTATTAATATATTCTATCATTTTCTCTTTTTTTTTAACTATAAAACTGAAATTGTGCAACAGCTGGGGTGCATAAATATTCAGTAGTTACAGTGTTGCACATAATTCTGCACAAATAAGATTTCGTTATAGCTACGTGCAAAACAGATTTTGCAGAGACTGACAGCGATGATGTAATTTAATAACATTAAAAATTATTTTAAATATATAAATGAAACACCACCAACTACTACAGACACCCATTAGCAGACAAATATGAATATGAAAGCAACGTTTTGAGTGCGCAGTTTTGAGAGTTTCAGCCCAGACTCAGATGGAGCACAAATATTGCAGAGCCACAAAGAAGAATACAGCTTCCCTTGGCTATCCCCATCCTCACAGTGGGGACTCTAGAATTGTTTTGACATCCATCTTTCCCTTCTCCTCCTCCAAACCACTGCAGTCAGAATGCTCTGGCTTCAAACCCCCTTAGATATAATTCCACAACAATTTCCATAAGTGCTGGCTGGCAAATAGGCTTTAGAGACATGAAAAACCACCAGTCCCTTTGCTCTTTGCTGCATGTCAGGGGGAATTGATGTCTCCGAAAGTTTTGGCTATCTTAAAGAGGCCTGCAAGGTATCAACATTACAGTACTCGTCTGAGTTACAGTAAAGGGCCAATAGTACATCCATAGGAATTTTTTATTTTATTTTATTTTTTAAAGCTTCCGATTACCACTGCAAAAGTAATGAGGACAGTGGCGGAATAGAAACACTGAGAGTTTTTACATTTTTAAATTTTTTTACATTTAATTATTTTAAAAATAATTAAAAAAAAATTATTATTTTACATTTTTAAAATGTTATTAAAATGAGATATATGCTGAGAGACTGTTTGCAATGGCAAAGTCAGCATTTTAAATTCTTTGCTGTATCTGATGGGATTACAGCTACTAATAACCATAGACTGTGTAAAAGATGGACGTAGCAACCGGCCCTGAAAAATGAAGCCAACCCGGAAGTGTCAAAAACCTGCAATATCACTACGTCCGCTAGCTGCTGGCTCCAAAAAGCCCTGGCTCCCATAGACTTGAATTGGAAAAGAAGTGATCACAGATCACGAAATACTGCATTCCTACAGCTCAGGATTTGTTTCTTATTAGTTTTCATCGTCAAATCCAGAGATCAGGTGGCCAATCTGAAAATAAATCAATACTGAATTTTTAAAAAATCGTCAAAATTTTGCGGGGCAAGGGCCGTGGCTGGCTTGATTGACAGCCGGCAGCGACGATTCAGAGGAAGCGAGCAGAAGGCGGTAAATGTGGGCGGGGCACAGAGGGCCCGCCTCTTAATCTGTCTGACCAATCGCTGCTCCTATGGCTCCGCCCCCCTCCAACGATTTTTGCGTCACTGGCTCCAAAAATCCAAGATGTCAACCAGGAAGTAGCAAAACCCTGGCTTCATTGTCTCAGTGCAGAAACCAACGGGTGATGTCACGGTTGCTACATCCATCTTTTATACAGTCGATGCTAATAACAGGGGATGTGTTGGTTTGTTGGAACATGTAAATGGAGATTTTTTTTTTGTTCTGGCATTTGGATTTCATAAAATATTGTCCCTCTATCTACCCAAAAACATTCCTGTCTTTCTTAAAAACAACCAATTTCTAACAACTATTCTATTACTATATGACAAGATTTAAAAACTACTGGGAGCTCAGTGTCTCAAACACGTCCCCTGAGTCAAAGCGACTAATTATCGGCTACATGCTTCTCATAGTGCATCAGTGAGGAAGTATTTGATATTTGATAGTCTGAGGTTTTTGTCACTGCCGATAGCTGTCTAGCACATCAAACAGCGTACAGTTGAAATGCCTGTAATTAACGCGCTACTTGACCTATATCTGATGCATATGACACTCAGACACACTGTCACTTCTCCATCAGCGACCTAAATAATGCTGACAGCTGTGCCGCGGCTCCCACCTTTGCTGTTTCCGTCGGGACCTCTTAGAACCGTGCACTCCTCGATGACTCCATAGGGTTCGAAGAGGCGGTAAACATCCTCCTCGGTCTGTTGTTTGTTCAGCATCCCCACAAACAACTTCCTGTCTTCTGGAACAAAAACAACAAACAAAAAAAGAAACAAAAGGTGACATTATAACTTTGACCCCAATTATGAAACCAATTTGAGAAGATGAAGCAGCGAGACGCGGCGACTCTTTTTCCACAGAGCCTCGGTTTAGTACAGGAGGTGTCTAGAGTATTTAGTGCAGGTTGGGCTCGAGTCACGTTGTATTTTTTTTTCCTCTTTTCCAGGACTGATCATTTTAAATCTCCAGTTTAAGTGGGTTTAGTCCCATATGAGTACATATTCTGTAGCTGCTGGGGATAAGTCAGTGGTCAGGGGGCTGGAAGGAGCGAAAGAAGAGGAAAGAGGAGAAACTGTGGACTAATGAAGAGGTTTCTCACATGCGCACACACTCAGCCACAGAGACCCAAGACAATGAGCGAGTCTTTGGTCCTTTAAAAGCACGAGGGGCTCCAGGCAGCCTCCTACACACCAAACTGTACTGGCTGGAAGTTCTCTCGCTCTCTCCTCCCCCTTTATTCATCTATCTCTTCCCTCTCTCTTTCCCGCTTTTCCTTTTTCTCTCGCTGATTCTACATTTTTCCCCCCCTCTACATTCTTTTTCAACTGCCTCCCTCCCTTCCCTTCCTCTCTTTATCTCTCTCTTACTCTACTAATTGCTGCTGATCCAGTGTTTTTTGTGTAGCTGGAGAAATATTTCAGCGTGCTCTTCAGTGAACAATGGCTTGTCTCTCCAGCGAGCAACGAAGGCTGGGAGACATGCCATGAATAACGCTGACTTTTCAATAGATAGCCAGTATGCTATTGAGTCCTGTTAAATGCTGTGGGATCTGATCTTTACCTTGACCTGACACACTGTGTTTACTGATGTACTCTGGCCTTGTATGATTAATGCTACAGTGCAGAACGTCTCTGCTGGCAGCAGAAGCACTAAAACCTTCCCTTTATACAGATTGTTTCTCCAACTCTGACCTGTGAAGTCACAGTGGAGAGACTGAGTGAGAGACAGGACTAGCAGCCACTGCTGTGAAGAGGTTGAGAGCAGCATAAAAATCGCTGCCAGAGGTATTGCCCAGTGTCAGGGTGACCTGTGACGACTAGCGAGTGTGTCGTGTTGTTGTCGTTCCCTGACCCAGACACAAGCCGATACCCACATTCCTGCAGCGGGCATGGCAGAAGAGTGTATGTGGACATGGCACCCAGCTAGGGTTTCAGCACTCAGCACCACCAATGATGCACCTTTAAAATAATCACTCGTGTCAGAGTGTTGTCTAGGGAGGGGCGTCCCTGGTGCTGGCTCCTTATTGCAAGTGGCAGGATCAGAGGCTATGTATCAAAATGGAAGTGATGCAATGTGACATCTGTCAGGGTGGATTGGAGAGCATTTATCTGCAAAAAAAGGAAAAGCCCTGAACTGGAAAATGAAAGGCCAAGATGGTCCTTCCTTTTGCTGGAGGGAGAATATAAATTCTGAGGTTGGATCGGGGAGATGAGTCAAGGTTGGGGGTGGGGCTGGGCTGCACAAATTTCCCTGAATGCCGCTGGACCGCATCTGGCATACAGTCCTGTATACAGTATACAGCCGGGGCGCTGAATCCCTCCTGCTCCTACGTTAGCTGTAACTTCCTTCTTCGTGTAGGTACTGGGGGTCTGACAAGAGCGGAATTAATGCATGACCTTTCTCCGTTTCATATGAGCTGCACTCCGACGATCACACTGTTAACAGCTTACATGTGGCACGTCTTAAAATACGACTCTGCATCCATCCTTCAGCATAAGGATTTCTAACTGGCAAGTCACCTCCAGCTGAATGGAATAATATTTATAGGACTTCAAGTATAAAAGGATCATTGGCCACTATATATCATACACCTGTGTAATATTGGCTCACAGAGAGAGCGGCACAAAAGCCTCGCACGCTAGAGTCGGTCGTATGTATGAGAGAGGTACTAATCTGAGGCGTATGCAGGTGGCGGCCGCAATGTACAAAAGGTGTGACATTATATGAAATGTATTTTTTTTATTTTTTTACACCATTTGGAAGGCGTTCGTCATCGGTGGCTTAGGCAGAGACGGAATGCATGTTCTGGAACGTAAATGTGCTTTGAAAACAAGCTAACAATGCATGAAAACAGATCATCTAGGAGATCTGTTCCACCGTCTAGGATTCTGCTCCGGCTGCTCTCAACTCAAACGCTCCCTTGGGAATTCAGGTCTTGTGTTCATCGCCAATAGAAACATTATCTCATTTATCTACAACACTGCAGCACAGGCAGTGTGCAAACAGACACAAACAGAGTGCAAAACACCTACAGTCATTTACACATATCTGACAGGGGAGGAAAACAAGGAGTGAAGGAGGGACAAAGGGAGAGAGAGAGAGAGAGAGAGGAAAAAAATTGCATGCAGAAACTAGGCGGATTAGAGATGGCAGCTCTCCCACCATGACCACACACATAGTGTACACATGAGCGCACGTCCCGCTGCTAGCTATCTTGTAACTACACTATATCAGCTTTTCTTCATCACCTTAACCGAATGAATACTGCTAACTTTAATCCACCAACCACAACCCTCGCAGGCTTTCTTTTTGATCTATTTTGCTGCTAATTGCTAAGCTGCTGCTAGCCGCAACTGCTGCTCATTGCTTGGCTTAGTGACCACTGCAGTACTCGGAGTTGCAGCATATTATAAATTATCCTGCTTCATCTATTTTCTGCAATGCAAAGCTGCATATACATGATGCTAGTCCAAACTGAAGGGGGAAAAAAATTCTCTCATTTTGGTTCAGTCACCAACCATCCATTTTAAACCAAATGATTTCCAAACCTGTATTTCGTCATATTTACTGGGTCTTAACCTGTCACAGAAACCTGCACTTAGAATCTACAAACTTGGATTTTCTGGATCAAGCTAAGCTGAATTCAGCCATTGCAATATTTCAGAAGAAGCAATCCTTGACCTGTTATTTGCAGAAGCCGGACATATTGATATCGGCATATATGTTGTCGGATATGCCCGGTATGAAAACTTTTCTTAAAGAGTATAGCGGAGAAAAATATGCTCGGGTTATTTTGGAAATAGTGTCATTACACAGTTTGTCCAGCAGAGTGCGCTTCGATTCCACTCTTTACAACACTCTCAGCACTGTGCAGCACATGTAGCAGAGTAAGGATTGCAGCTGAGCAGTAAGTGGTGAAGAGCTGAGCGATGTCTTTCCAGGAAGCTGCTAACTAGTTTGTAAGATCAATTTCTGGAAAGTTAATGATTAACGATGCCGCCATTTTTCCTTCCCAATGTCACAACACATATATGCATAAAGAATTTTTTGTTGATATAGCAATTTTGGAATCAGTCCCAAAAATCCTGTTTTGTTTGGGCTCTAGTTTGATCACAATTCAATTTTCAATTTCCTCCACATATAATACAGTGTCCTCCTCATAGCATGGTAGTTTGAACTGGACCATGAAGCCAAAGCCATGACATGTAGAATGTTAGAGTTATTTCTTAATTCTATTCATGCACTCAGTCACACACAACACCTGGAACATTCCACATTTCAGAAAGGTTAATGCACAATTAGCAGCAACGTGTTTTGGATGGCTATTTTCTACATGCCTCGTCTTTCTGTTGCAGCTATTCTCTCGTACTAAATGGTCTCTACTGTACAGACTAACACAAAATAAGACAATGCAATATCAGCTGTTTTGTTTTTTTTATTTGTTTACATCATAACACAGTATAATCCACAGGGATATTATCCACTCTGTAGTATTTAAGATGAGTTATCACCACCTAAACCATTCAGGGGTCCAATAATGACAAGAAAGTTCACTGCGAAAACTGTGCTGCATGCTGGCAATAACACACACTTACAACTCACTGGAAGAGCACTGTATGCAACTTCATTGTGACACACAACTGGTGTCCTGAATTTCACCCCCCCCCCC